TTATTACCCTGTAACACATGCAGTTGAGCTAAACCTCCCTATCTGTCTGAATATCAAACGCTTTAGACATAACATAAAACTGCTATTTTCCAACAACCATGTCGGATAGGCTGTGGAGAAAAAAGAACCCTTCTCCACTGCTGGTGGAAATGTAGACTGATGCACACATTAAGGAAATCTGTGTGGAGACTCCTCAAAAAACTAAGACTGGAAATTTCATTCAATCCAGCTATCCCCTTACTGGGAGTTTTCAAAAAAAACCCTGCAAACATATCATAGTGATATATGTGCACCTATATTTATAGCAGCACAATTTGTGATAGCCAAATCTTGGAAACAACAAAGATGCCCATCCCCTGAGGAATGGATGAAAAAGATGTGGTATTTTTATACAATGGAGTATTACTCTGCTATAAAGAATGATAAACTCAAAGCCTTCATATTTAAGTGGATGCCACTTGAAGATATACTCATAAGTGAAATAAACCAGACCCATAATTGTAAATATCATATTGTCTCCCTAGTGCAAGAATTCAAAAGAAGAAATAAAAATTGAAAGTTATGACACAGTTAAACAGAAAGTGAGAACTTAAGAATTAAATAACAGAGAAAGAAAGGAGAAAAGTTAATAAACATGGTAGTTGCAAAACCATACATTTATATGAACAAGACGGGTAAGGCAATGGTCCTAAGAGTCTCCATCAGGTTTTGAAAATAGCAGTTAATGGGTAGAATTCTTACCCTGACTAACTCTACATGCTGATATCTGTGAACTAGGCAACTGCACTGAGGATGGCAATGTGTAAGCCTAAAACCATGCTTGAAATGCCTGTCATTTCGGACTTCTAGATGCATTCTGCTTCTAATGTCACATCAATTATTGCTATAATCTCAAGTAAATGTTTGTAAAGGAAAAAAAAAGGTAATTAGAAAAAACAAGAGACAAGAAAAAATGTCATAGGATTGTCCTGCTACAATGTTGTATATGGTTTGATTTCTAAATTTCCGTGTAAAAATGTGTAATTGATTTTTTCACATTTTGTAGAGATTTAAAGTTTGGAAATTATATGCTTTCTTAGCTAAGTTTGGTCAGGAAAGTAGAGAAGCTAATGATGAATAGATAATTTCCTATTTAAATCTTATTGATAGAATGATCAAGTAGTAGAGTAGTGAGATTTGTTTAGGCTAGTACATGGTAATAGCTGCCTAGTGTAGTAAGGTTTGATACAATATATAAGATGTTTGGACAATTAATTCATTTGTCTGTGCATTCTCACTACTTTACTGTTCAGTCTGTGGAACTTTGACTTCTCTAAGATTCTATGATTCTGAGATTATGGTCCACTGTCTTAAGTTTTCTCCGTATGACAACAAATTGCACCTATAAAGCTACTATATATCTAAAATAATTCTTCTAGTGTGTGGAAAACCAAATGAATAAAGAAAAAAATAAATAAATGAGCACAGAGAATGTGAGAAAAAGGGCCAACCCTTGTTTTAAACATGAAGGTTAATTTATCATAGAAGTCATTATCGGAAAACCAAAGTACTAAGTATTAAAATTGATATCATACTTGCATGCATAATAATAACTGAAGGTATAACTATTGACATGTGTAGTTCATACCACTGGAATACTCATCATCATAGACATTGTTCAGCTGTCTTAGAAGTATAATCAGAGAAAATCTGAACCTATATTGCTGATCAATTTGAATAAAGTCCTGAAGTACAATGAGATTTCCATTCACCACTTTATTATATGAGTGCTACCGCTTCTGTGTAATGAGCCTTACAATTACTAGGTATAATTTTTGCATCTTTAATGTTACAGTGTAAGTAATATTGCATTCAAATATTATATATCATTAATGGATACTTGCTAATACACTTGTGAGAATCCCAATAGTAAACATCAGACTAATGCTTTAAGGAACTTTAAGAATAGAAAAAATTCCATCAAATATTAAAAGTGCAAACCTATTTGTCCAGTAAGAAATTTAGACTTCTTAAATCATGTATTAAGAAAAAAATTTAAATAAAATCAGACTTGATTTTAAACAGTTTACACATGCAAAGTCTCACAGGACACCCTGCTTCCAATAGTAAAAATGATTTTGATTGGGGCTCACACTATTTTCAGAATTCTTAGGTCTTATGACTTACTATGAGATTCAAAAGAATGAATGATATTTAAAGGTAACTAAAAGGTGGCTGTTTTATTTCTGTCTAAAATATTTGTCACACTCCATGAGCACGGAACGGCACAGAGATGAAAGTTTACTCAAGCATTACTCAGAGTCTATGCCCAATCCAGGATCCAAATGGCACAGAAGGACTTTCATTAACCAAGAGCTTTCAGCATGAGAAAGTCTCCAAGGGCATCCCTGAACTGATGTCTCTGTAGCCTGGTAGAGATAGAACCAGAAAGTGAGCATGAAAAAAAAAAAAAAAAATGCAAGGGGATGTCTGGGCAGGAACTAATGTGAAGCTAGGTGAGGAAAGGGTAGGTCAGGTTGGTCAGCTAAATGACTGACTTTGGGACCTACCTAAGTGATGAACTGGAGAATAGGGAGGACTGAGGTCAGAGCACTCGTCCCTTAGTCCAGATGCTTGGTCCTAGTGAGATTTGCGGTTCTGTCTTTTAATTTCCAACCATGCATTCCCTGAGCCTTGGGGCATGTGGCTGCCACAGTTCTCTACAAAGCCTCCTTGTGCATCCCTCTGGTGGATACTCCCACCACTAGAAGGTCATTTTTTTATGTCTTTCAATGTAGTTGACTATTAAATCAGGACTCCATTAATATTTTCAAATGCTCTAATTTAGATTAATATTTTCATAATTGTTGGTTCCAAATTTTCTTCACTTACTGGAAAATATAATATCATATACTATTCTTTAATTATTAGAAAATGTTACTATTCTCAGGTCAGCTATATTTATCTGATTTCATTATTCAGAAATTTATTATGTATACACATAATAAATATGCCTTATTTTTCAGTTATTTATCCAAATATCAGTTTCAGTAAACTAGTATCTAATTTTTCCATAAAATGTAAGAGTGAATTAATATATGTTCATCAATGATTGCCCTTCCCTTTAAATTCTATGTTTACTAAACTAGAAAATGATTTTTAAAAACACATTTTATTTTTTAAAAATAAACTTATAGGCAAGTACTGCCTAAATTCATCTCATTACTTCATGGTATTTATAGCATCTACTTATAACAATTTCAGTAAACTTACTTGAATAACAAATAATAAATAATTTATGTCTTCAAAATAAGGACAACTTTTGACACACTTGAAAGTTTCAAATTGAATATCCCCATTAAAATAACTTTAAATTATTCTAAATGTTTTAATGCACATCAGAATATTTTCAAGATTATTAAGACTCAAATTAAAGCTTGATAAAACATGATTTTTAATATTTAGGTATAATTTTTCATATCTCTAATATTACAGTGCAGATAGCAAGTACATGCACTTTATTACATATGTTATGGAACTTAATCAATTTTTATGAAGCGGATTCAAGTAAGTAAAATTTTTAAAAGATGATTCTGCTTCCAATTTTTTCTTGAGAATTAATTAAAATTTATGAGCATATTCATTATCATTTTCTGTGTTTCTTCTTCAATAATGTATTCTGATATCATATGAATCTAAATGAAAATCCTTTCATAGCCTCGTTATACATCCAAACTAGTAACGACATAGTGTAGAATAATAATGACAGAATGCCCTGAAATAAAAATTCAGAATGAATGTCCAGTGTTGGGAAGATTTTCTGCATTTTCAATGTAGTAGAACTTGACACAGTGTAATGTTAACAATAAACTAAAAATAAATATTGACCTGTCTATTATGGATATGCAATTATTGATACCGAGCCAGCAAATCTCAGACACTGAAGGCAAAAGGGACCAATTTAGTTAAATTCTAAGTCTTAGAGTGACAAAGGCAAAAGTGAGTACAAGTAGAAGGACCAGAAAGGAAGTTGGGACAGAGAACAGAGATCCTGCCTGGGGGAAGGGTAGAGATAGGCTAACAGCCCACAGTCCTCCTTTTGTCTACCTTATTATTCCTGAAATACTGATGCCAGACCCAGGAATTCCAGATCGCAGTGCTCAGTAGGCCACCAGGCACGTGTACGGGGTGCATTCTGATGGTGTTTAACTCCAATTTCACCTCAAGTACATAATGAGAAACCTGATATAATTTACTGACGGAAGATGGGAAGATAGACATTACAATGTGAGAAATACGAGAACCATTTTACTTAAAGACTTCCCAGAACCCACGTATTTTCAATTGGTGGCTCCAACTCTGAGACTGGCAAAAAGAAAAGTAATGAGTGTGAACCAATAGAAATTAATGAACAAACTTTTAATGAGATTACAACTCCAGTAATAAAAACTGGCTTCACCTCCAACTCAAATTTTCCCCATGAAACGCTTTAAACCGTGACCACCAGAGGAGGCGGGGAGAGGTGGGTGGAAATGGGGAGACGCCGGGGTCCGCGTGGGGACTTACGGTACCTGGGTCCACCTCCTTCACCTGTTGCCTGGCTGGAGTTGGCTAGCTCCACTTTGAGCTCCGGCAGGGACAGCCCCTGTTGGCGCGGTCCAGGGAAGTCCATGCCGGGCACCCCCTCCTCCTCCAGGGACTCCACGTAGAAGAGAGTCCTGGCCGGCTGCTGGGGGCCCTGCCCCTGAGCCCCTGGCTGCAGCCTGGTGGCAACAGGCAGCAGGGTGCCATTCAGGGCGCTGAAGGAGGAGGAGGATGATGATGAGGAGGACGGCGAAGAGGAGGAGGAGGAGGAGGAAGAGGAGGAGGAGGAGGAGGAGGACGGCTTCTTCCAGAAAGCGCTCGCGCTGCCCTTCTCCTGGCTTTTGAGCAGCCGGCTCTGGCTGGGCCCCCAGTGCTCGAAGCTGCCGCTGCCGTCCGGTTGCAGGCAGCCGCCCCCCGCCGGGCCCGCTGGGGACGGAGACGGGTGGCTGAAGAGTTTCCAGCGGAGGCGCAGAATATGCTTCACATCGAAGTCTTTTCGCCCGGAGCCGGACATGCTTCTCGCACGCAAGACAGACCGGCCGAAGCTTGCGCAGGAATAGACTGACCGCGGACGCGAGCGGAGGCGGAGGCGGGGCGCACCCTGCGCACCCCGGGCCGGGGCCGGCGGGAGCAGCGCGGACGCGAAGCCAGGAGGCGCGGCTGCGGGGACCAGGTCCTCGGGACCCAGCACCGGGGCACCTCCGCTCCAGCGCAGCGGGAGAGAGCGAGCGCCGCGAATCCTCGGTCTCCGTCCGCGCGGGAACCCAGCGGTTACCGGCTGCACGGAAGACCCCGAGGCTGTGCCGCGGCGGATACAGCGCCCCGGGACACGCTCCTGGCAGCCTGTCGGTGCTCCCGTCCGTACAGCTCAGAGTTCAGCGCCCGGCGAGCGCGGAGAGAGAGAGCCCCAAGTGTCCAAGAAGCCACGAAGAGCACCCCGCAGCCTACCAGAGCACCTGCGCCCCTGCCCCAGCTTGTCCGGAGAAAGCCTGACGGCTTGCAGGGGACCTGGGAGGAAGTCACAGGCTTTCTGCAGTGCGAGAAGGGTGGCTTTGTAAAGTCAGTTTGAAAAAGAGCAGTAAATAGTGCAGAAAAAGCGGCGAGGCAGTGAGGAAAGCCCGCCCGTGAGGCTGTCAAGGTCCTCACAGTACAATTTTCTCTCTGCCTCAGCGCCTCCTCCTCCCGCGTAAGTGACGCAGATGTGCACAGGGGCCTATACGGAGAGATGGAAGGAGGGAGGGAAGGCTTCAATCTTCTTTATGCAAGTGAGTCTGCTGTTCTTATTGTCCCCTTGCGTAGATCCTGTCACCTTTTTTTCACCCTCCTTCCACACTACATCACTGTGTAGCCATAAAAGTAAAGCAAAGAGGCATTGTGCTTTAGCATCAGTCAACACCAAGCGTGAATCTTGGCAGTGGAAACTTAAAAGGCTGTCATCGGTTTTGCAGGTTGCAGGTTAATGGCTTGAATTATTTAATAAACCGCATCTTTTAACCTTTAGCCTTAGTTTTTCTACAGTGACACACAGGCGAATCAGGGAGGCTGGCGTCAAAGTGTGATGATGCACCGTCCTGACACTTCCATTGTGATTCTGCTATTAATGCACCCAGGCAGCGCTTCACCCCAGGGGGCCAGAGGCGCGCGGTAGAAATGTGAAGATGGGTTCAGTGCAGCCGACAGGCTTGACAAAATCAGTGCATTTGATACTGGGCTTTACAATGAAAGCTATTCTCCATAGAAACCAGGGAAGGAATAAAATGGTACTAGAGAATTTCAAGGCATAACCTTCTAGTACATAAATCACGGTATAAAATGCTTGCTGTGGTTTAAACCATAAATGAGCTTAGCCAAAGGCTACTCTCCTGCAAGTAGGTGTTTGCAGAAGGTAAGTTGTGTTTTTCCTTTATAACTATATTTAGAATGAGGAGGACAGTGATCGCTGTCTAGATAGGAATTTTTGAGAACTTCTAATATTTATCTTTAATGCGCTGTGTTTGAAATAGAGCACAGTAACATTTGCTGAAAGCTGAGGGACCCGAGAAGCAGTGTGTTGTTTGAGTCGACCAAGAATATGATGACTGACTGTTCTTGAAATTGACAGCTTCCACCTCCCAACAGGGCCTGAGAATCTCACACTGAAGTGCTCTTGCATTAGTGTTCTATAACCACATTGCAGAGTAGTAATCAGAAACAGAAGCCAAATCTAAGTGTGAAATCCTTCTCTTACAAAGTTGTACATTTTAATAGAACTACAAATTAAGTGCACAAAAGCCCTACTTTGAAGGGAAGGGAAATCTCTTTTGTGCATTTTAAATATTGATTTGCTATACAACAGCTGGACTGCAATCCCCTGTGCCTCGAGTTTTCTCTCAGTGTTCATGCTTTAAAAAAAAAAAATCCTTTAAAGCAAACAATGTTGACAGATCATTTTTATCCAAGAATGGAATCAAGTATTTCCCTTAAGGGAGAAAACAATATATGAAATTACAGGTCACAAACAGCACAGAGAAAACTTTCCATCATAGCTAATATAGGAATTTGAAGTTAATGTAAATAAATTATGTCTATATAAGTTGATGCTTCATGGATTTCCTAAATTGACTTTTAAAATCATTTAAAAATAACATGAAGTAACATGTAAGAAAAATGTCATTACAGCTATATTTTCTTCATTAATTAACATCTAACACCATTCATACACTGTAACATAAAATCCATTTCTGTTGTTATACTGAAATTCAATTTAGTATTTTCCTTTTCTTCTGAATTGTTTATACTACTTTTCTACAACTGAAAGAATGAACTGTTTAAAGGCAATTATCATATAGAACCTAAAAGCAATGTAACATTGAAGTTTGGTATAAAGGACATGAAATCTAAATGTTATATAATATTAAACAGGTTGTTAGTAAGGCCTATGATTTGTTCAAATAGTCTATTTGGTGTGTTTTAAACTCTGCCACAGCCTACTAGTTAAATATACCTCCTTTTCTATGCGTTAGAAAT